CAATTGTGATCTGCGTTAAAATTTTCAAACACTGACTAGCATTCTCTTCCTCAGTAAGGTTGTGATTCAGTTTCTACTTCAGCTTCGTTCTCATTAAAACAAAGTTAAGTTAAAATTTGGAAAGGCAAATTCAACATCCCAATCCTCAGGGTTTACAGTCAAAACTAAGAGAACTGTAAGTATTCACTCGTTAATGTGACGCTGGAGTCTTTTGAAAACTGGACATGTCTGGCTCGAACTCGCTTCTATCTTTCTTTCGTTGGTCTTTGAAAAAACACTGCAAATGGCAAGAAGCTTGTCAAGATGATCGGGTGCAGGTATGTTTGTTATCATGTTTGTCGAAGGAATAACTCATTTTCTCTTAGGCAAAACATCTCGAATCTCTGCAAGTCGATTTTCGTCTTCTTAACTGAGTGCTACGATAAAATTTTCAAACACTGAATAGAATCCTCTTCGACAAGATTACGAGCTAGTTTCGTCATCGCCTTCGTTTACAAATAAACACAGTTTAAAATGTTGAAGGCCAAAGTCAACATCCAAGTCCTAAAGGTTGACAGGCGTTTTATAACTTTATTTAAACCTTTTTTCCGAGGTAAAGAGATTTAGAGCTCCGAAATGAGCATTTTCTTTAAACATTTTGGTCCGTATAGCAAATTACGGACCCCAAATTGATCAATCGCATGGCGAAAACAGACTCAGCAATATCATAAGTTTTTTATGGAAAAATTAAGGGAAAATGGAGAGAGCGGAGGGTTTACACAACTCACTCACTTATACAAGATATATTACAAATGGTGCTGCTGACATTTCGCATTTATCATAACCCAGAAGCTACTGCATAAAGTTTGTGCTATACTCCGTCATACCTGTCATAATCGGAATGATTCATTGAAATCTAGGTAAATATTCCTAAAGCTACCAGGATTAATAAGGATCTTTTTAGTATGTACACACGACGTGATCTCAAGATCGCTACATTTGTGGGCCCGGATTTTAAACTTTGCTGGTAATAAAGTTTGGATCGTGGATCACGCCATCGACGTCAGAATTTTTCCTTTTTTTGGTCTGTGCATGCGTGTGCATGTTTGACAACTCACTTACCGTCCTTACCGCATGTCACGCAGTAGGGAGATAGTAACGCATCAGGGACAGGAAGCTGTGACGTTAGCGGGACGTGTGATCTTCGCGCTGTTACAGTTTGCTGAAATGAACATCAAGAAATGGTCTATTGTACCGACCTGAATTTGCGCATCAAACTTAAAACAATTGTTCTTTTGTTTCGGGTGACACCTTCCCAGAGCTACCCGACGCTTGTTTGAATAATCGGAAACCTTAGCTTGACAAACTTGTGTACCACGGGGGGTGGAAAGTGGTAACTGGTCTATGAAGAATGACATTTCACTAGGGTACCGACGGGAATAGTCAAAGGAGTTATATAGAGAAGAAGCATTTTCATATCCAGTAAAGACGTCCACAAATTGTTAATTTTTGAGGCAGTGAAATGAAAACTTGATCTTTTAGCTCTATCATTGCTTTCATTTTTTGCATTAACCCGCCGCGTGCGTAGACTTCTCCCGATGCTTTTATGCCGTTACTGCGAAGATTTTAGTCATTGTTATCCAAGTGGCTGAGAATACGTTCTTAAACAACCGGCTTTCTTTTTGCTCGACAACGCGCTTTAAATAAAACAGGTGTGATCTTTTTACTCCACATAAAAACCAACAGTTGCACATTACACAGCACTTGCATGTATGAGAAGTAAGCAACAAGCGCGTGTGATTTTCACTTACAGGAGCAATTTATTTCATGAGTAAGTGTGGGGGCATTGAGCCGTAGTTAAAACCTCGCGGGCCAGTAAAAAGGAGGTGCGATTTTTTCTAATCTTTGGTTTACTCACTCAAGTCATTGCCAACTGAAAATCTACTCTTTATAGAGCGATTAATTTCGTCTGACTCTGCCCGAAAAGTTAAACAATTACAGCCGCATCTTTAGGCTGTTAGAGAATCGTGTCATTTTTACTTGAAGCCGGAGCAGTAAATTTCAAGAGTAAGTGTCTTGTTTAAATTCGCGGCACAGTAAAAGGGAGGTGCGATTTTTTCAGTCTTTTGTTTTCTCATTCCTTTCAGTGTATTTAAAAAGGGTTTTCCGATTTAGCGGAAGTTTTGCGGAAGTGGAACGAGCCAGTTTGAAATGAGTTATATTTCTAGCCTTTCTATACGTGAAATTCGTTTAACGATGACTTCGGTAAGCAAATTGCTCGGTTGTTCATAACTTCACTTTACGAGACCAACTGCAGCGCTCAACTTTGTATTATTCTTGCAAAGTTACATATAATTCGATTCACCAAGAAAATCAGGATTTAAGGAAGTAATTTCCATGGCCAACTCTTTAGAGTCTCAGGCTGAAGAAGACGAGAAAATAAATGCAGTATTCCTCTTCAGCCCCCAACAAATCACGGCACGTAAATAGTGCGAGCAAAAATCACAATACACCGTGAAATTCGGGCTTTGCACTCTCAGAAACGAATGTGTTGAAGTATGGAAGCGATAATGTTTCTAATGCTGGGTTTTTATACGGAGCGTAGGAAGAAGGTTTTCACCCTATTCTTTCTACCATCAAAACTAAGCAGACACTCAGTAAACCTTCATTCTGAACTAGCTTAAAATGTGTGTGTTTCCAAAGAATATGCATGTAATATTTGTGCTGCTTTGTTATTCTTTTGTTATTCAAAGGTTGCCATATATGAGGCTTTCTTCTGCAATCCCGCTCCTTAATGGAAACTCACGGAATTTCGCGCCAGTGTCAAAAAATATTTGCATTCGCTTAGTTAGCTGGATTGTACCAGTAACTATGCACATTCTGCCGTTTGTATCAATCTATTGAGCTTTTCCTATAGTTTTCAACCCTCACCCAACAGGGGTCTTTTTTGCATGAGCATGCGCGACCGCTGACTTGTCAAAGAGCACGCGACCAGTGACAGCGACCGTGCTGCATAGTCATAGGAACCAAATTTTTCACTTTGAAAGCTTGCTTGAGATTGAAATGGTAGCAGGAACTTAGGAAAGACCTTCGTTGTACAAAATAAGTAAAGATCTGTTGATTTAAAGAGGAGACTGATGCGCTGAACGGGGTGAAGGAGCAAGTTTCTCAAGGATGTCTGACACGAACATGGCTGCTTGTTGTTGTTTGGCGCTCGACTCGTGTCTTAGTCCCCTTTAAGAACCGCAAAGTTTGGCATAGAATGCATTGCTGATGCGTAGCTATTGAGCAAAATGTTCTTTATTTATTGTTTGTCTATAAATCGGATGTAAATCAGGTTCTCGATGCCGTAGAGGATTTCTGTCAATAATTTGTAGATAGCTGATTTAGGCATATTTCGGGAGTGGATTAATAACGATCAGCGGGCGACTACCACACCGTTTTCAGTTGAAATAGAAAGTTTTTGCCTTAAGTATTTTAGCGATACAAAGTTTGTTTATAGGAAAATTGTAGAACTTCTTGTTTTTTGGTGGACTAACATTGTAACGCATTTTTTACAGGAATTTGCTTTTGGCCAGAACGTAAATGTTCTAATGATTTTTAACTTTTGGTCGGTATCACATGTTTACTGTACTTCTTGGGAAACCTAACCGTTTGTTTCATCAAAATCGGTCACAAGATTGGACTTTAATTTCGGTCCTATTGAATGCAGTTTTGACTGTGTCTCATTGATATTCATTTTTTTTATTGTTCGAGACATTCAGAGTGACTACCACCAACATCTCACCAGGTGACTAATCTACGTCTCGTGTGCTCTTAATTTTGTAGCTTTAAAGTGCTGGGAAAATTGTAGAACATATATTAATTCACTGCTGAACTGAACATCGGCTTTCGCGCACTTCGAACCCACTCGCTGAAATTTGCTATGTTTTTTTTAAATATTTCTCTTCCTTTCCCATTTCACAACAAAGAAAATTGAAAGTGTTTACTTGCATCAACAAACGTTTCTGCACTTGTTTAGACTTTGATGAGGTCAGCGCAATCCTCCAGGCACTACATATACGCGCGCTGTTGTCCAGGTCAAGTGGGGGAGATGAAATTTGATACTACCTTGTGTATGTTAAAGCCGGTCTACTTCGCTTTTGTTAAGACCATGTTAGAGTTTTTTTTTGCAAACTACACATTTTGTTAAATCACGAGCACATTCGCCAAGACCAACGAGCAAAATAATCGCTATGATAGCTTTGAGGCGCGCCATTTTGATGAAGGAAAACCCTGTGGTGAGCCTCCATGCACATCGCTTGTTCAGCGGTCGCGCATGCTCATGAAAAAAGACCCCTGTTCCCTCACCCTAACCCACAAAATACACAGAGTCGAATAGATATCCACAAGTAGACGAAATTGCGAGTTACGATGCCTGGAGACTTCCCGCTGTCTTTCCCAATTTGTAGGAGAGGAGATATACAATGTTGTTCCTTTTCTGTCTATAAATTATTGTATTAATATGGCATTCGATGAGACAATGAAAACGATTCTTATTTACGTTTGACGTAGCAAATAAAGAAATAGCCAGTGATCAGGCCTCCCAAAGAAATTGGGAAAATCTAAGGACCCCTGATCGCAGGTTAATGAAGAAAAATCAGATATCGTGAGAGATTCCCTCCCTGCCCAGAATATCATCCAGCAAACAACAGCAGAATTCTTTACTTTGTTCCTTGTTAGCGTATATGCTTTATCGTTTTTAAACGACTTTTAAAAGCCGTTAGCACCGAGTGTGAATTTATTTGCGGCATACGCGTATCGGCCAAATGCGACTGCTAGACGCAAATACTGCAAATGAATCCTCTTGTTGTTAAAAAAAATTACCAAGCATGTTTGTGCTCATCTATCCTTTTACGAGCCAGATATTTTACATAAGCAATGACACCATGCAAAGATTTACTTATAACGAAAAAACTCGAGATGACCTTTTACAGTATAATGGCATCAATTTCAGATCTCGGAAAAATGGATCGAACTTCGCTAAATCGGAAAACCCTAATGATTCATTGCCGACAGAGAATTTGCTTTTATGGATCGATTTGTTTCGTTTAACCTCGTCCGAAAGGTATGCAGCAAGTGTAATTTTCACTCGAAGACAGCAATAAATAATATCAGTGTGGGGCATTGAGCCGTGCTTTAAACCTCGCGGGCCAGTAAAAAATAGGTGCGATTTTTTCAGTCTTTTGTTTACTGAGAAGAAGCGGTTTTATTTTATTCCTCTATTGTTTACCACGCTTTTCAATACATGAATAATATGTGATTTTAATTCTAATTATTCAGCCCGTGTTCTAAAGAACGACTGTAAAATATAAACTTCATTTCCTTATAGATTCAAAGTTCTCTAGCGCGAAATTTGAATGTTGCCATCTCGGAAACAGAATAACCAGTATATAAAAATCAGAACCAAAGCGTATGCGATCAAACAAACTGAATTGTATGTTCTCAGCCGCTTCTATTCGAGCCCATATTTTAGTTCCTTACAGCAATTTAGACAAGCAGGATGAGCATGTTTTGCGTAAAAGTTGCTCCCACTAGGCTAAGCCCGACATAAAACACAAGGATGCAACTGGTAAACTCGTCTGTTCAGCACTTACCTCACACTAACACTACTGCGTCGTATGTTTCTTCCTGACTACTGTAACTCTTATCCACCCCCTGGGTTGAAATTGCTCCTTACTTCGATCGCGCGGAAAATTCACACGTCATCGGAAAGAAGTTGTCGGAAATGTTGAAATTTCCCGGGCGTGAAAGCTATTGTTTCACGCTGATCGTTTTTGTCCTTACATGGCGAGATACGATCAAAAATAACAATACAGAACAATACCTATTGTTCCCGAATTCAGGTCGCTTTTCTTGATACGGAAGTTCTTATTTAAGCTTAGTTTTTTATAATAGCGTCCTATGAATTTACCAGAATCGCCTCTCAGGGGCAGTTGCTTGTAGTGAAGCATTTTGTAGCACACTCGTAAACAAGCAATGTAAGGCGTAAGTCTTTGCTTGGATGAGACGTCAAAAATAAAAATTAGTTTTCTGGACCTAAACACACATTCACAGACTGCTTTATATTGAGTTGATTACAACTTTGCATTGAAATCTGTAGCATGTTCATTTTTTTAAAAAGCGAAATCGAAATCTGATTTTGGCATTTGATTTACGGATATTTTATTTTGTCTCCAAAAGTGATTGTAATAGAAGTATGATTGTCTTTCAAACAACAGTCTTCAGTAGCCGAAGAAAAGAGAGGATAATAACTTTTAGCCTAATCGGCTCCTGATTTTTAAGTTTTTTGATTCTTTAGTTTCATGTTTTTAAAAAATTCTAATTTTCGCAAAGTTAACACAAAACCGTTTTTGGATTCATAAATTTCCCCAAGAAACACACCCTGCGAAATACCGCAACCAATGTTTGCAATATGTAGTTACAATTACTACCGGCTCGTTTATTATCTGCTTGGAGATAATTGACTATTTTGTAGGTTGCGCGCGCAATGCATGATTTTCAATGTCCGTCTGTTTTTCGTGTGATGATGTGTTTGTCACTATTCTCTTCAAAACAATATATGACGTGTTATCTACCTCGACCTTCGGCTTCGCCTGACAACAGTTACCTCGATCTTGATTTCCCCGGATATCAAAATAACCCAATCTAAAAATTGTTTGATATTCACCTCACGCTTCGTCAGTAAAGCGTATCATATTATCAACATTTTAAAAAATGAGGTTAGCAATTAAGTCAGGCGAGAAAAAACTATTTATTCCTTACAGCCCGCGCGTAGCGACGGCTCAATTCTTTGTTCGCATCGCTTATGGAAAGTGCGTGGATCGCACAGCGAGGTAGAAACCCGAGTTGGCTTTACATATACTGTGAATGGCCTAATAAACGCCCGGGGCGTCTATTTAATTTTAGGGATCCAAGCGGGGGCGTTTCATAGATAGGAGATGTTTAAAAGAGAGAGGCGATTATTCTCATGACTGCAACAAGCTAGTAGTATACTATATAGAAAATTAAGCTCCGTTGGTGGATAGGTGAGGATGGTTTAGGGATAGTCGCTTTAGGAATAGTCTATGACGTCACCCGTTGTTACAACCTAGGGGAAAAGTGCCTTCTTGCATATTAATTATGTGTCTAGTCTGTTGTTAGTAAGTGTCTAGTCACTGCCTAATGAGCGTCTCTCTACTACAATAGGCAAAATAGGCTTGCCTAGATTTGCTCAGTAAGTAACTTTTGTCCGGTTTTGCCGGAACGTCTGTTTAAAATATAGGAATACGAGGAGCGATCACCTAGCAACGTGAGAAACGGCTTAAGTCTTCTATTTAGCGCTAAAAAAATCGGATATATAAACAAAACTACACAAGAAATACCGTTTTAAAAACTTACTGAACACCGACGACAAAAAGAGTAAAATACACAGCGATTTGAAGGGAATGAAAAATTAAGAGAGAATACTTCATGGAAAGTGATGGCGTACGGTATTTACTATCCTCGGAGACCCAGGGGCAGTCGGGAGAAAAGGCGGGACGAAAGTTTTCATTACGGGCGAAAGAGCCCCTGGGTACCGACTCTCACCGGACCATTTCCAAAAATTCAAGCGGAGCCGGCTCCTGATTGGGCACAAAAAATGCTTTGTATTATTGTGCCCAATCGGCAAACACATCTCAATGAGTTGTTTTCGTGTGTTCGTACATGAAGGCTATTTTCTCGATCACGGCTTGTCTAGCTTATGCACCAAAGAAATGCACGCAGTCAGGAAACTTTCGGTTTGATATAAAATCTCCATCTGATCCAGCTCGCTTACTTTGTCAAATGCAAATGAACTCTTCCGAACCATATCAAAGTTCATGAAGAGAATGAATTTTGTTATTGCTTGTTTACTCCTTCGCAAAACGTGAAGTTAGGCATTTTCACGGGTAGTCGTGCAGTTAACGACAAAGAAATGTACAAAAAAGCGTGATGCACGTGCAAAGTTGTTGTTTTGCCTTGCAAAGCTATTACTTATTTGAATTTCTCATCGCCGCCGCATCTTAATTGTGATCCGTCAAAAACAGAATATTCCCGGGGCAAATTCAATTGCTCTTGCTGATAGTAACCCAAACGTCTTTTCAACTCATCGGTAATTCCTTTGCTTCTGGTTAGGAACTAGAAAATAAAAGTTTCCCTTGTACGCACAAGCTTGATGAACGAACCAGGCAAGTGTGGCGAGACAATAGCCGTCGTGTACGAACTCACGAAAAGAACTCAGGAGCAACTGTTCGCCGATTGGGCACAATAATACAAAGCATTTTTTGTGCTTAATCAGGAGCCGTTATCAGCTTGAATTTTTGGAAATAGTTCGGTGAGAGTCGGTACCCAGGGGCTCTTCCGCACTTACTTGAAAACTTTCGTCCCGCCTTTTTTCCCGACCCGACTGACTGCCCCTGGGTCTCCGAGGATGGGTATTTACGCACGAGTTGTTGACGTATCAGAAATCTTACTCGTTCGCTGCGCTCACTCGTTCGATTTCTGATACAAAAACAACGAGTGGGTAAATACCGTACAAAGCGCTTTCCATGTGGTATTGAGTTTATTATACAGTGAAACCTGTATTAAGCGGACACCCTCGGGGAATGCTGTAGTGTCCGCTTAACGGGGCAGGGTGTCCGCCTGATACAGGTTTCGATATATGACGTCATATGAGCTGTATGAGGTGTCAAATGCCATTCAAATGAACAGTGGAACCGTTTATAATACTCCCAGAGACTATGACGATAGACGTTTGCATTAATTTCTTTATCAAAGTGAACCAATTGATCATAGTACCATAAACATGGATTGCAACTCAAATTTGAAGAAATCAGATGAGTGAAACAAGCTCTATACAAACAAAACGAAACAGAAAACAATCCTGTACTGTGAAACTAATCAAATCAGTTCGTCAAGTCACGTTTTTTAATGTAAAAATCGAAAAATTTTTGGGTGGCAATTCGAGGCAATATTTCGCATTTCCGGTGTCTGGCATGTTGGGTGGTAGAATTTGATTACAAGTGTCCGTTTAATACAGGTTGGCAACAATAGAAATGGGCCTTTTAAGGTACTTTTTAGGTGTAATAAAGGTTTCATTTAAAGTAAATAAGGGAAATAAATTTGGGGACTTCGGCTACTGTCCGCTTAATAGAGGGTGTCCGCTTAATACAGGTTTCACTGTATACATACTGAGACATTCAGCGAACGAGTAAGATTTCTGATACAAAAACAACGAGTGCGTAAATACCGTACAAAGCACTTTCCATGTGGTATTGTGTTTATTATATACATACTGAGACATTCATCATTTTGGCGGTATTTTTATTTTAAATCTTTCAAAAATGCTAAACTTTGCCGCTACACACTTACTGCAAAATGACAACGAAAACGAAGTATCAGCTTTTTAGTAAAAACGTTTGTTAAAAACATAAATGACGGTAAGGATATGAGGTAATCCGAGAACTATAAGTAATCTTAACTGTTTGTTTTCAATGCACAATTGAAAATGAGTGAGTTTAAGTAAAATGGCCGGTTTCAATATAAGCTTAAGCTTAAATGAAAGTCAAAGTAGCTCCGACAAAAATATACCTGCCAACTCTCACGCCTTAGGCGTGAGTCTCACGCCTGCGGGTTGAAAACTTCGATCTCACGCCGGCTCACGCTTGCGGGCCAATTTCTCACGCCTGATTGAAAAATGTGAGTTGTTGCCGTCTTCCTTGACACAATTTCCAAAAATATGTTAACTCAAACCCATGTAAGAAACGAAAACCATGTGTAAAATGAATAAATGACAATACCTTCCTCGCGATCTCTGATTTTTGAAGTGAAAAGCAAGTGAAAACTTAGCCTTCTTGTGAATAAGACAGTTCTTGTACCATTTCTAGCTATTTCTTGTGAAACCAATCAGTAGGAAGGTGAACGCATTATAATAATAATAATTATTATTATTATTCCTTTATTTATCCTCGGTAGTATTTATAGCACTTATGCTATTGGTGCCGAGCAAAAGACTGAAACAAGTAATTCAAATAAAAAATAACGGGGTTAAGAATCCCAATTAGTCGGAGGCAAACCAGCTGCAGCTATTTACAAGTGTGGTCAAAGATTTGAACTCGGGACTACCGTGAACAAATCTAGCTAGCGGTCAGGGCGGGACTTGAACTCGGGGCCTCCGAATTGCAAGTCTAGCGCTCTAACCGCTCGGCCATGCTGCCTTCTTACAATTGAAGAAGGGTAATACAACCAAAACCCTTGTGTTAAACAACACTTTCTGATATTCTGTTTCAACAATATTATTTTAGGATTTGTTTAATTGCAAATGTAACGCATCTCATTTCGTTTATTTTCCGACCATACCTGAGATTTTAGACCTTTTAAAAGTGTTTTCTCTAAAAGCAGTGCTTTTTATAATATTCCGACCTCGCGTGGTTAAAATACCATAACTTCAAGCTGATTGGTGAGGGAGGTTTTCTTGGTTAAGTGGTAACGCTTAATTGTTTTTCTTGCTGGAAGCTCATTAGGTTTAACTACTTACAAAGTGATTTTAATTTCCTTTCGCTCTGTTTTACGGCTATTATGATTATTTGTATAAATATCATGATTATCGTTTAATTAGGCCATAATTATCCACGATTTAGCTTCTGTTTTGTTTTTCAAAGTCTGGTATTTTAGCCTGAGCTAACGCCGCACAAACTTCGTTATTTTTTATAAATTATATCGCAATCCACGCTGCAAGCTTTTTCACCTTATAAATATCCCCGTTTAAGAAACAGCTGACGTAGCCTTTCACATATTTTAAACTGGATCGGGGGGCTTATTCCTCAATAAACTGAATACGGTGAAGAGAGCTAATCTTCGACCAAATTTTCGACAGCTCCTTGTTAAGTTTGGGGGTAGTTATCTCAGCAACTGGTGAAAACGAGCTGTTTGCGAGATCTCAATCAAAATGGCTGTTGCATTCAGCATTTCTTGCACCTGAAGCAGGGATTCCTGGGCCGTCTTGAACTGCCGATGTGTTTCCTACCGATGTGTTTGTTTCTTCATCTTCTCCAGAGGTTTTGACGGCCTCCAGAAGTCGCTTTGACAAGACAGTGTTCGAACCTCTGTCATCAAGCGCTAGTTAAGAAAGCTCCGCCTTTAGCTCAGATGCAGTAATTTACATATAAATAAGACCATTTTGAGTCTCCGTCAAGGAAAACTGATATTCTTTCTTTTCTCGAAAATAAAAGGCTTTTGCAAGAAAACAGTTTACATCAGATTAATCATTTACCTAAAAGCTACCTATGGAAAAAAGAAAATGAAAGAAATCGAATTTTCAACTCTTGCCACTCAATACTCAAACTTTCCTGACGGCCTCTCTTAAACTGTTTGGCACATTAATCCAAATCTAACGGTTTAAATTGAGTAGCATTTTTTAAGCCATGTCTTGTGACTATTAATGCCTACTTATCTGCATCTTTTCTTGTGAAACAGATTACTGTATAGGAGAACGCATTCCAACACGCAGTTTACTGTTCAGATTTCTTTTTTTTTAATTGTAACTCGGGCTACGTGAGAGTACAGCTTCTCCAGTGTTCTTTTGTCCGGATTTCAGGCCGTAATTATTAAGTATGTCAAATATGCAAAATAACACTGATGCGTTTTCATGGAAACGAAGTAAAGACAAGAGTCGGAAATTGAAACAAATATCCCTCGCAAGCCATCCTTCTTTCTTTTGTTTTTCAATTGTTCATTCCAAAGATGCTTTAAAGAGTCAGTTACAACTTTGTATGACCATATAGAAAACGTTGTAGGAACAAAATTTCAAAACTACCACAAATAGTCATTTGGGGTACATAACCCCGCTTTTTTGTAAGAAAAACTGTTAACGTTATGATACTGAATTATGCGAGTTAAGCTAACGAGTTGTGTGATGAATTTTTTCTTATACTGAAGAAGGGTTATACACCCAAAACACCTATTTTGTCGACCATTTCTAGAAACAATCACAGGAAAATAACTTTTGTAGCAACATCTTGAATTTTTCTTTTCAATTTTTTACAGGGATCTTAGTTCCAACAACATTGTGGATCTTGACGCAGGGGTATTCTCCAACCTGACAAATTTGCAGCGGCTGTAAGATGTCTGAATACTTGTTAAATAACGTTTGGTTTAGACTGTTTGACATACTATTTCAAATCTTAGTAAATAGTTAGTTTAGCTAGTGAAGAAAGCTCCGTCTTTAGTTGAGATACACTTAATTTACACTTAAATAAGGCCATTTTGAGCCTCCGTCCAGGAAAATTGATATCCTTTTTTTTCTCGAAAATAAAAGGCTTTTGCGAGAAACCAGTTTACATCAGATAAATCATTTACCTTAAAGCTACCTATGGAACAAGAAAAACAAAAGAAATCGAATTTTCAACTCTTGCCACTCAATACTCAAACTTTCCTTACCGTCGCTCTTAAACTGTTTGGCACATTAATCCAAATTTAGCGGCTTGAAATGAGTGGCATTTTTTACGAAATGTCTTGTGAATATTAATGCCTACTTATCTGCATTATTTCTTGTGAAACAGACTACTATAAAGGAGAACGCATTCCAACACGCAGTTTACTGTTTAGATTTCTTTTTTTTTTAATTGTAACTAGGGCTACGTGAGAGTACAGCTTCTCCAGTGTTCTTTTGTCTGGATTTCAGGCCGTAATTATTTAATATGTCAAATATGCAAAATAACACTGATGCGTTTTCATAGAAACGAGGTAAAGACAAGAGTCGGAAATTGAAAACAAATATCCCTCGCAAGCCATCCTTCTTTCTTTTGTTTTTCAATTGTTCATTCCAAAGATGCTTTAAAGAGTCAGTTACAACTTTGTATGACAATATAGAAAACTTTGTAGGAACAAAATTTCAAAACTACCTCAAATAGTCATTTGGGGTACATAACCCCTCTTTTTTGTAAGAAAAACTGTAAACGCTATGATAATGAATTATGCGAGTTAAGCTACCGAGTTATGTGACGACTTTTTCTTACACTGAAGAAGGGTTATACACCCGAAACACCTATTTTGTCGACCATTTCTAGAAACAATCACAGGAAAATAGGTTTTGTAGCAACATCTTGAATTCTTCTTTTCAATTTTTTACAGGTATCTTAGTTCCAACAACGTTGTGGATCTTCACGTAGGGGTATTCTCCAACCTGACAAATTTGCAGGATCTGTAAGATGTCTGAATACTTGTTTAATAACGTTTGGTTTAGACTGTTTGACATACTATTTCAAATCTTAGTAAATAGTTAGTTTAGCTAGTGAAAAAAGCTCCGTCTTTAGTTCAGATACACTTAATTTACACTTAAATAAGGCCGTTTTGAGCATCCGTCCAGGAAAATTGATAGTCTTTTTTTTCTCGAAAATAAAAGGCTTTTGCGAGAAAACAGTTTACATCAGATAAATCATTTACCTTAAAGCTGCCTATAGAAAAAAAAATACCAAAAGAAATCGAATTTTTAACCCTTGCCACTCAATACTCAAACTTTCCTGAGGGTCTCCCTTAAACTGTTTGGCACATTAATCCAAATCTAACGGTTTAAATTGAGTGGCATTTTTTAAGCCATGTCTTGTGAATATTAATGCCTAGTTTTCTGCACCATTTGTTGTGAAACAGATTATTATAAAGGAGAACGCGCTGAAATACGTAGTTGGCTGTTCAGATTTCTATTTTTAATTTTAACTCGGGTTACGTGAGAGAACAGCTTCCCCACTGTTTTTTTCTCCGGATTTCAGACCATAATTATTAAATATGCAAATATGCAAAATAACACTGATGCGTTTTCATGGAAACGAAGTAAAGACAAGAGTCCGAAATGGAAAAGAAATATATCTCTTGCAAGCCAGCCAGCCTTCTTTCTTTTTCTTTTTTAATTTCTTTTATTCCAAAGATGATTTGAAGGGTCAATTTATAGCTTTGTCTGACGATATAGAATAATGTTGTAGGAACAAAATTTTAAAACTGCCACAAATAGTCATTTGGGGTACATCAACCCTCTTTTTTGTAAGAAAAACTGTTAACGTTATGATAATATATTTATGCCAGTTAAGCTACCAAGTCATGTGACAACTTTTTCTTACACTGAAGAAAGGTTATACACCCGAAACACCTATTTTGTCGACCATTTCTAGAAACAATCACAGGAAAATAGCTTTTGTAGCAACATCTTGAATTTTTCTTTTCAATTTTTTACAGGTATCTTAGTTCCAACAACATTGTGGATCTTCACGTAGGGGTATTCTCCAACCTGATAAATTTGCAGGAGCTGTAAGATGTCTGAATACTTGTTAAATAACGTTTGGTTTAAACTGTTTGACATACTATTTGAAATCTCTAATGCTTTGTATGACAATATAGAAAATTTTTCTTTGTAGGAACAAAATTTCAAAACTACCTCAAATAGTCATTTGGGGTACATCAACCCTCTTTTTTGTAAGAAAAACTGTTAACGTTATGATAATGTATTTATGCCAGTTAAGCTACCAAGTCATGTGACAACTTTTTCTTACACTGAAGAAGGGTTATACACCCGAAACACCTATTTTGTCGACCATTTCTAGAAACAATCACAGGAAAATAGCTTTTGTAGCAACATCTTGAATTTTTCTTTTCAATTTTTTACAGGTATCTTAGTTCCAACAACATTGTGGATCTTCACGTAGGGGTATTCTCCAACCTGATAAATTTGAAGGAGCTGTAAGATGTCGGAATACTTGTTAAATAACGTTTGGTTTAAACTGTTTGACATACTATTTGAAATCTCTAATGCTTTGTATGACAATATAGAAAATTTTTTTTTGTAGGAACAAACTTTCAAAACTACCTCAAATAGTCATTTGGGGTACATAACCCCTCTGTTTTGTAAGAAAAACCGTAAACGCTATGATAATGAATTATGTGAGTTAAGCTACCGAGTTATGTGATGATTTTTTTCTTATACTCAAGAAGGGTTATACACCCGAAACACCTATTTTGTCGACCATTTCTAGAAACAATCACAGGAAAATAGCTTTTGTAGCAACATCTTGAATTTTTCTTTCCAATTTTTTACAGGTATCTTAGCTCCAACAACATTGTGGATCTTCACGTAGGGGTATTCTCCAACCTGATAAATTTGGAGGAGCTGTAAGATGTCGGAATACTTGTTAAATAACGTTTGGTTTAAACTGTTTGACATACTATTTGAAATCTCTAATGCTTTGTATGACAATATAGAAAATTTTTTTTTGTAGGAACAAACTTTCAAAACTACCTCAAATAGTCATTTGGGGTACATAACCCCTCTGTTTTGTAAGAAAAACCGTAAACGCTATGATAATGAATTATGCGAGTTAAGCTACCGAGTTATGTGATGATTTTTTTCTTATACTGAAGAAGGGTTATATACCATAAACTCCTATTTTGTCGACCATTTCTAGAAACAAACAAACCGGTGCTGCCTTCCCGAAAGCAAACCGGGAAGGCATTTTGCAACTTACGCGAGTTTGGCGTCTTTCGCTCGGAGGAACTGGAGGTGAATCAGTGAATAGTGCAGGATATTCACTGATTGAGTAGCCAATCAGAGAGCGCGAAAAACACTATCCACTGTTTTAGTATATACTAAATAGATTTAGCCACGGCTAAAAGCGCAGTTCCCATTGATAAATTTATAATTTAAATCAAACAATTAACTTGTATTCCACAAATCAGTTAACTTAAGGGCACATTCATATGACGTTTGAGGGAAAAGCTAAGTGATTTTGGAGTGAAACAAATCTTGCATATCGAGTTGATATAGCCTTATATGTACACCCAAAAAATAGTCTTCGGTCACATTTAAGAGCAATAATGGCTCTTTATCGCAGTAGATAAGGCGTGGAAAACAAATCAGGCCGAATTTTAAAAGAGTTACGCTTCAACGTGATAGAGTATTTATTGAGTTCTATTTTTAATAATGGTTTTACAAGTATGTGTAATCTTAAAAGGCGTTTGATACGCTCGTCATTTTGAGTAATCCTGCAAGCGATGTTTATGCACGGCTGAAAACAAACGGAAAATCGATGAAAATTGCACTTTTGAGACTACCAACAATCAATAAAGAAATATAATTCGGTAGAACATTTACAGAGACAACAATTTTCATTCACGAAAACATATGAGTATCTAAGTGTTTCTAAGAATCCTCAAGTCTTTTATAAGCTTAAAGATTAAGTTTATAATGTTTTAAGCCACCGGTTTCCCGGTGTTTGCTCTTTTCAAAGACGAACTCGAGACAATAAAATCGCTCAAAACTTTCTCTCTACAGCCAATTAACACTAAATATTCTTCGGAAAGTTTTTCTTTCTATCTACGGTGAATTAATATCAACCAAAAGCTTTGTAAAGTTCTGTAAACTTATATCAAGCCTCATAATAGGTCAGATCAGTGTCTAAGTCAAATCTTAATACAAACGTGCATAAACTAGGTTCATTAACTGCGCTCGACTTCATGAAATTAGATATAAATACAATAATTACTCAGGCTTACCATATCTCGAGATGCAGCTCCTGAAAGCTATCAAGTAAGGCAAGGATCGCTTCAGCCTTTATACGCATCCAGCAAGGTGAAAAACAAAAACGATGCCATCCGAAATCGAATTATCGGCTTTGACAAGCGACACATTTCTCAACCAAAAACCCAATAAACAAACCAGCCATGAATAAGATAGCAGCTGTATTTCATTTTGTACATTCAGTGGAAAAAGACAGTTAAAAACATCACAAGTTGACTCAAAACTCTGTCAGCTTCAGCTGTCAAAGTAAAGAACTTTCAAGATATGCTATTTTACGCATAAACTCACCTGTCAAATTTTAACCAATCAGAGCATAAAAATTGGACGTGGAGCGTAACCAACACGTGACCATGGTAAGAAAAGGTCTTCCCCGCCGGTATTTTAAAAAAAGTGGCTAAATTTGTGCGTCTGGGGTCAGTTTGAAATCAAAATCGTAATAGTGCTAGGCGATAGTGACATAAACACAACATATTTAATATGAATTTTAAAAAAATCTGAGCCTGCGATCATTTGAAAACGAGTACATTGTCAGCGGATAACTTGACCTTGATGGGTGACCACCTGAGCCCGCGATACTTTCAGGTGATACTGGTCAGCGGATACCCTGTTTTGACAGCTGTCAATTGACCACAGCATTGATGTGCAATCAGCTTTCTCCTGGGCTCCCAAACTAGCTAGAAAGTGTGCGAGTTAACGTTGGTATGCCTGTGGTGCGGACGGACGGTCGGTCACTCGGTCGGTTGGTAACGTGATTACCAAATTTTCTGGGATGGGTAGGTTTATTTATCCATAGTGCTACGCTGGCGCGCTTCGCGCGCGGAGCTTCGCTATGACGTCACCCATTGTTACAACCTAGGGGAAAAGTGCCTTCCTGCGTATTAATTATGTGCCTAGTCAGTGTCTAGTGTCTAGTCACTGCCTTCCTGCACACTAACTCGGTATAGGTTTACTAATGAGCGTCTCTCTACTACAATAGGCACAATAGGCTTGCCTAGACTTACCCGGTCAGTAACTTTTGTCCGATTTGCCGGAACGTCTGTTTAAAATATAGGAATAGGAGGAGCGATCACCCGAGAAACGGCTTACGTCTTCTATTTAGCGCTAAAAAATCGGATATATAAGCAAAACCACACAAGAGATGCCGTTTTAAAAAACTTATTGAAAACCGATGACAAAAAGACTAAAATACACAGTGATTTGAAAGGAATGAAAAATTAATCATCATCTTCTTCGCCCATGGAGTACTTGTAAGGTTTGACTCGAAATTTCGTATGTCGATTTCTTTTCTTCTGTTTGCCATAATTCTATCTCAAAGAAATGACTTATCATTGAAGTAGCGGCGTTTCACGCGCCGTTAGTCAGTTAATTATGCGAGTTAACAAGCCCACCGTTGCATACAAATTAGTTCAGCTTCGCAGTAAAAGTCCCAAGGGAGAACCTTGACGTATTATTATAAAAACACACACACACACAAATAACTTAACAAGGATCAATTGAAACACGCGACTAATAAATTGATTCTCGCAATAAAACCAGACACGTTTCTTAAGACACGAGAAATCAACTTTACGACCCTTTATTAAATAATTCCCTCCCCCACAATTTTATTATTTTCCCACCTCAATGTTTTTATTTCCTCCTCCTCCACAATTTTATTATTTTCCCTTCTCATTCTTGAATTCCCTCCTTTTCCACAATTTTAATCTTTCCACACCTCCTCCTTATTCTTGAATTCCCTCGGCCTCAATTTTATTATTTTCCCTCCTCAATCTTGATTTCCCGCCTCCTCCACAATTTTATTATTTTCCCTTCTCATTCTTGAATTCCCTCCTTTTCCACAATTTTAATCTTTCCACACCTCCTCCTTATTCTTGAATTCCCTCGGCCTCAATTTTATTATTTTCCCTCCTCAATCTTGATTTCCCGCCTCCTCCACAATTTTATTATTTTCCCTGCTCCTCCACCACCTCCTTATTTATTCTATATATTTTTCATGCACAAGTACATCGACCTCGTACTGACCCTACATCGATCCTAGATCGACCCTAGAAACTATATACAACCCTTCACCACAATCACCACCACATTTCTCTTGTTTTCCCTCCTCCTCCTCATTAGTATTTAGCTTTGGCCTTTTAGCCTTGATTTTGGCCTCTATGGCCTTTTCGAGGGAAAACAATGAAATGTGGAGAAGGAGGGGAAACAATAGAAATGTGGTGGTGGTGGAGGGAAAAAATAGAAATGTGGTGGTGGTTGTATATAGTTTCTCTATTCAAGAAGCTGTGTTGTAAAGAAGTTGAGTCTAGGGTCGATGTAGGGTCGATATGAGGTCGATGTATTTGTGGATGGAAAAATATATAGAATAAATGAGGAGGTGTAGAAGGCGGAGGGATAGTAATATAATTGTGGAGGAGGCAGAAAATCAAGATTGAGGAGGGAAAATAAAAAATGTGGAGGAGGAGAAAAATAAAAAAAAAGAGGAGGAAAAATGATAAAATTGAGGCGGAGGGAATTCAAGAGTGAGGGAGAGGTTGGGAAAGATTAACATTGTGGAGGAGGGAATATAATAAAATTATGGAGAAGGAGGGAAATAAAAATGAAAAGGGAGGGGCTAAAAAAAAGATGGCTTGCCTTCTTTGACTATTTCAAAATAATTTTTAATCTAATCTTTTTGCAGTTAGTTTAAGAAAGGGTCGTAAAGTTGGCTTCTTGAGTCCTAAGAAACGTGTCTAATTTATTAGTCGCGTGTTTCAATTGATCCTTGTTGAGTTATTAATTGATTTGTGTGTGTGTGTGTTTATAATAATACGTCAAGGTTCTCCCTCCCTTACTAATTTGTATGCAACGGTGGGCACGAAATGTCGAGTCAAACCCTACAAGTACTCCATGGGCGAAGAAGGTGATGATTAATTTTTCATTCCTTTCAAATCGCTGTGTATTTTACTCTTTTTGTCATTGGGTTTCAATAAGTTTTTAAAACGGTACCTCGTGTGCGGTTTTCTTTATATATGCGATGTTTTAGCGCTGAACAGAAGACATAAGCCGTTTCTCGAGTTGCTAGGTGTCCTCTTATTCCTATTTCTCAAATAGACGTTCCGGCAAATCGGACTAAAGTTACCTACCGGGCAAGTCTAGCCAAGCCTGTTGTTCCTATTGTAGTAGAGAGAGCTCATTAGTAAACCTATACCGAATTAGTATGCAGGTAGGCAGTGACTAGACACTGACTAGGCACTTAATTAATATGCAGGAAGGCACGTTTTCCCTAACCTATAACAATGGGTGACGTCATAGACTATCCCTAAACTATCCTCACCTATCCATCAACGGGGTTTAATTTTCAACATAGTATACTACTCAAGCTCGACAGAACTTGAATTTGACATATGACGTATCCACTTAGAAGAGTTATCACGTGCCAGTTTTCCCACTTTCAACAGGTTTATTCCGTACACTGTTAAGTGGTTACATTTTTTTGCTCTATTTTGATGGTTCTAGTTTAATGCCCCGGCGTCGTTTATATGCCTAAAAAATGTCCTTATGGGAGTTAACACTACGTAATAACCGCTATTTTAAAATGTCTACGCAGTAACGCTCTAGCT